TATTTAACCCATTGTGGCCATGGGTCATTAAGCAACCACAGTTTAGAAACAAACATATTTTATTTCGCTTTAGTCCATAAACTTTGGAGGCAATAACTTTTTTATTTAATAATAATTCACAATAATATTTTTAAAATTGCTCTTAAGGGTGATAAAAATTTACCTTCTTTAAAAATTATTGACCGATTTCGATCGAATTTCTTGTTTTGTCATTTAAAATTACATACTTTAAAATTATGTAAGAATTTTTGTACTTCACAATTCTAAACGTTTTTTTAAACCCTATAAAAAATAATGAAATAATATTCGAAATTACTTTTTTTACAATGAATTATATTTAGATAAACGAATTTAATAATTATGTACAAAATATTCTCAATTTGCCTTAAAGGTCTCGAAAAACGGCGAAATGTGAACATAAAGGGGGACAAACTTTCCAGCGCCCTCTTGACTTTTGAGATTAAGATCATATTTTCTAGGTTGCAGCTCTATCCCCCCCCCTATATTTTGATAGTCACCTCTATCGAAAAATGGTTCTATTCATTTCGAGGAAGTTATATCAATCTCCTTAACTTAAATAAAAATTAAGATTAATTAGTTAACATGTCACCTTTTTAACTTCTAAGATAGGAAGGTATTTCAGGAAATATCAATCTCCAAAACAAAGGTTATTTAAGTTAACGCCTTTCTATTTTGCACTCAGTATCCTAAAGCAATTGAATTTTAAGATTTTCTTCTAAATAAATATATCTTATTAACTAAACTATATAAGTTTAATAATTTCATTTTTTTTAATATTTTAGCCTGTCCTTCCATTCTAAAGGCAAGATTAATTTTTATGGTGCGTTTATATAGTTTAAAATAATAGTTTTTTCTTTTTATTTGTGGAAAAGCTTCGAAAATACAAGATGTTACCAAAACTTATTTTCACAACTGTATTGGGCGGCCAATGTTTTTTTTAACTCTCAAATAAAAAGGATGAGGAGAGAGAAAAAACTTTGTTTGGATAGAGTAAAATGGCACATTTCCCAGAATTCATTATTCATTGCTGCAATATATGCAGAAATTTTCAAAATAAAAAGAAAGCTAATTTTTATTTATGTACGTGTTGTTAATGGCGGTTTCGCAGAATCAGAAAGATAGACGGAGAAAATTTTAAAACAGGAAACAATGATATTAAACTGCTGGTGTAAGTAAATCACCAATATGGAAACCTATATTGCAACTCATCTTAGAATTACTTGCAAAATTTCCGATAATGAATATAATTTATTCCTTATGATTTGTCTTTACTGCAATCCCTATTTCAACCCAACAGGTGTCATGTAATGGCTCGTTCTTCGCTTTCCAACCCAACATATTTTTGTTTACTGCAACTCACTTAAATTGTTTATCTTATTCATAAATGCATTATCCTTTGTAGGTATCCCAAGACTGGAATATTTTTGGGCTTGCTATTTTACTTTGGACCAAGTGTTTACTTCTTTTATCTTTCTCTCGAACACCAATTTCCATTTGCATCCTATAATTCACTAAGATATACCCAGTAAGTCAAAAATTTCATTGATATTTATAAATAAAGGTTGTGACATAAAAACAGGTAATTCACTAAGCATCATTTAACTCACTAATATATACCCAGTAAGTCAAAAATTTCATTGATATTTATAAATAAAGTCTGTGACATAAAAACAGGTAATTCACTAAGCATCATTTAATTCACTAAGATATAGCCAGTAAGTCAAAAATTTCATTAATATTTTTAAGCAAAGGTTGTGACATAAAAGTAGGTAGTTCTGAGAGTTACTGGCTACTTGCTATATATTATAAAGCTTTTGCATAAAATTATGGTTGTATCATAACGCAAACGCATAGCATTTGCAAGAAAATTAGCATCCAAAATAACTTATAATAAAATTAATTGTAATTATAATTTTTAAATTAATTATAAAATCATTTGTAATTATAATTATGAAATTGGTTATAAAATTAATTGTAATTATAATTATAAAATTAATTGTAATTATAATTATAAAATTAATTATAAAATTAATTGTAATTTAAATTATGAAATTAATTATAAAATTAAATGTAATTATGATTATGAAATTAATTTTTAAATAATTGTAATTATAGTAATAAAATTAATTATAAAATTAATTGTAATTATAATTATGAAACTAATCATAAAATTAATTGTAATTATAATTATAAAATTAATTATAAAATTCATTACAATTATAATATAGTTTATATTATTAAACACATAATTAAATTAATTGTAACTATGATAATAATATGAGTATAAAAACAATAAATGATTTTTGTTACGATACACCAACATTCGATCCGTTCATCATTCAATAAGGGAAAGTGTCTCAAACAATTTTCTCAATAATCTCAACAATCATCTCAATGTCTCAAACAATCTCAAGAATCATATCAGTTTCACTATACGGCTTTCTATGCTGTTATATTGAATTTTCTGGGAATGACAAAACTTGGCGTGTTACTCTTGTTTACTAAAAATCTCAAGAAATGATGGCGTGGAATTATTATTTAATGAAGATAAATTTGGTGGATTGCGTTCTTTACTGAAGATCGTGCAGGTTTCGAACAGTTATTATTCTTCAGCTAGAGTTATTTTGAAATGAATATTTTAGGTTATGCTCTTTGTAAAACAATTATTAGAAATACAAATTCAGAATTTTTGATATTATTTTTAATTTTTAAGAGATGTTTCATATAGGAATTCGATAATTTATTTTCTTCTAACTATATCGTCTATTATAATTCCTTAGAAATATTAAAAATGAAAGTTAATTATAAAAATAGTAAAGAAATTCAAAAACTTTTAGATTTTAAAATAGTTTTCTTTTAAAGATGCACTTATAAATATTAGGTTAAGTTACGATAACTAATTTAGCAGTATTTTATAAAATGTAATTTAACTGCATCTAATTTATATTACTTACAAAAATGATATTATCTTGATTTTGCAAATAGAATTGATAAATAAACAATTCTCTCTTACAGTTTAACCGAAAAATTCATGTCAACTGTTTACGTATCCTCTCCTTACCACCTTCCCGCCAATTTAATTGGAATGTTTGCAGGTTGGACATGCGTTAAATTTGGGAAACAGAAACTAACGAAGGTGAGTAAGCATTCAATTTCTTCTATCACAACTCTGCTATTATAAAATCGTAAGCACTGATGCCACTCATTTGGATGTTAAACTTAACTTTATAATTAATTTTGCTGCGCAAAAACTATGAGTTTTAAAAGCTTGGAATTACGCAGGACGGTAGGAAAAATTAGAGGAACTGGAATGGCATAAAAAAAATTTAGAATTAAATTAATAGTTCGATAAAATAATATTCTCCACTTTTTCGCAAACATTTTTCCACTGGATGGTGGCTTAAATAATTTCAATTGCCTGAAATCATTAAATAGTCAGCATTAGTTTCAGTTGTTACAGACATTGACTTTATAATACTGAATGCAAAATTTTTTCACTGGGTGGTGGCATAAATAATTTCAATTACCTGAAATCATTAAATAGTCAGAATTAGTTTCAGTTGTTACAGACATTGACTATATAATACTGAATGCAAAATTTTTTCACTGGGTAGTGGCATAAATAATTTCTATTGCCTGAAATTATTAAATAGCCAGTTACAGTATCAGTTACAGCCCGTAGTAACTTGTTACAGACATCAACTATATAACACTGAATGCAAAACTTTTCCACTGGTTGGTGGTGCAAACTACTAGTTACTTGTTCATTCAACTCGCATAATAACTACTGAATAACTACTACTGAATAACTACTATTGAATAACTACTTGTTCATTCTATTCGCATGCACTATAATGTTAGAAAACTATCATGCAATATTAATTTAGGAGATACAATTTGGATTAAAACCTTTACACGCTATTTCATAACATTTTACATGAATTAAATAGTATGAATATTGTATTTTAAAAAAATTATTTACTTTTGTTGATAGATTTGGCTTCTTGTTGGATGGATTGTTTCGATATTTTGCTTCTTCTTTGCAACAGCTTTAATTTATATGCCGATAAAAAACTTCAAGATAATGGCCTTCTACGACAGTTTAAGAATCTCCGGAATGAGTTTGGCCACAAGTTGGATACTTTTTATTTGTACGACTGGTCAAGGAGGTGCCTGAAATATTTTTTTTCAAAATCATAACAAAATATTTCTTTAATAGGGTGAACGGTGCTTCAAAATCTAGTTTCTATCTTTACTATTTAAATAAATAATATATAAAAAAAATTAAAGTCAATTCCTACTTACTCTCTTAAAATGAACGAGTGAAAATAACTCAACTTGAGTGCTACTTAACTCTTTCATCTAGAAAAAACCGGC